TCTTATGAATGAATGGCTGCACTGTTTTTAAACAGAAATTTATTTCTGTTCAAATGGGTTCTTTGTAGAGCATTTTCCCGCATTATGATTGTACATATTCAATCCCAACAAGCAATACTAAGTATGTTTAGTTCTTCTCACATATCTTAAAAAAAAAAAAAAAAGGACAAAGTTTTGTGTTACTCTTTTTCTAAAGTTTAAAATCTTAAGTAAATGCAAAAGTATAGGCAGTCCCTAGCAGTAATGAGGACCAACATGGACCAGAGGTGACTGTTTCTTTCCCCTGCACAAATATTACCTTTTGTGTTTAAAAGTCAATAAACAGTAGCCAGATACAGTTGTTGGTTATTTAACGGACAACTGTTACTGTTCTTCAGGAAAAAAAAAAAAAAACACAACAAAAAAAACCAAACCAAACCAAAAACAAAACAAAAACCACAACAACATAATAAGCAAACTCATCTCAACAAGAATTGTGTCACGTGAACATCACTGCTGGGTGTCACAGACTCAAAGACCACTGCTACCAGCAGACTAGGAAGGCAGAGGAAACAGATCTTCTGCACCACAATAAAAGCTGATGATTAAACCAAAACACCGTATGATTTTTCACAGGTCAAATTAAGTCTTTTATGCAGATGTCAACTCTGACCTGGACTTCTACCCTCTGAATTGTTTGGCTTGCATTTTGAAAAAATGCACCTAGATGCAGATGGACGCAACAGCAGGGACAGGAGATTCTACCTAAACCAATACCCACAAGCATTTCTGATATTCCAAACATTCCAGAACATTTGAATATTCCAGAGGAAATCTAATTCTCCAGAAGTTATAGCCTCTACTGCACTCACTGAAGAGTTTCAGTAAGACTGTTGAGCCAGCAATCATGGTGACAAACCAAGTCTTGTCCTCTGCAGGCACTTGCAGTGACTCCTGATGGATTTTTTTTTCCACCAAGTATTTTTGGCACACTAGGTAAAGTTCTTCAGGTGTCAACAAGGAGGTTCTGGGTGCTGTGTGTGCAAGTTTTCAGAGGATTTTGTGATGAATATGGAATGAGATGGGGGTGATACAGAATCCTCTAGCCATGCACAGGTACTGTACGGTAGCACCCTGGCCCTGACAGAATCCCAGCTACTTGGGAGGCTCAAAGCCTATCATGACTCTGGCTGCTTCCATAAACAGTTCAGATGCTCTTCCTTTGCCATGGAACCTTGTGGAGTTTAGAAATTAAAATAAAACAAAGAAATAAATAGAAAAATAATAATTGTTTACCTTACAGTAACTCTGTAACACTAAGATGTGAGGTTAATTTAGATTCTATCTTTGGGGGCATATTCAGTTCAGGTAAGATTGGGCTGCTTTGACATTTCCCAAATGACTGTCCTGCCCTGTAAGTATACCTTGTCTACCCCTACTCCTTTGGGAGTCAAGGAGTCCAGAAGTATAAGGATTTAACATCAGGGAAAAGAGTTACCAACCCGTACAAACAAAGCTTCTCATAAAGCTTGCTTGCTGTAGGTTGAGTAGTCCTTCTCTATTCCTTCAGCAGTTACCCACATGGATCCCTCCTTCCGGTTATCATAACACATAACTCCAAGCACTTGGACAGTTCCTTAAACATGGTCTTCTGAAACAGGTACTCAATCCAGAAGAGCAGGTCACCCGTGGAGCATCCAGAATATGGACAAAACCCCACACAGATGCTTCAGAAATTTCAGAAATTCAGGTGTTTTCAAACCAGTCAACTGGGGTTCTACAAAGGATACTGCCATTTTTAATGTGTTTGTTCTTCCTGACAAGTTCAATTTGCCAAAATATTCTGAAAACCTAGAAAACACCAATTTCAGAGCTCCAAAATGAAGCTACTTCTCATCTTTGAAGTGATGTCTTCCTGTGCCATTGCCTCTCACTGCTGGTATGTCTTCAGGCAGACAGGCTTTAGGTCTTGGGTGCTGACAGGAAGATCAGGTGGTTGAAGAAAGCTTATACCCTTATTTGAAAAACATTTTAAAGAAATCCCCATTTATTAAAGAGACTACTTAAAATAGAAATAGATTTAGGTAAAAATGTTAAAAGATATTATATGTAGAATATTGAAGTAATCTTGAAAACATCATCATCAAAAGAATGTTCACATAAATGAGAAGGAATGTACTAATCAGTGAACACAACTGAGTTGTAAACTCTATGAGATGCTGCATACCACAGTTGCACTGAATGGAAGCATGATCTAATTTAAGAACAAAACCAGCAAGAATCTTCCAGGTTTGGGGTCTCAGGTGAAAGTCTGAATATCTTCTATGACAAAGAGCTTGTAACAACTCCAGTAATTGTGTTTAGGTAATTTTCTAATAATGAGCTGTGGAGTTTTAAATGTTCTCTATTTTGCTGCAAAGACTTACTAAACATGTTAGAAGAATACAGAGGTATTCAGATCAAAATGAGGGTCACATTTTAAACTACATGACTGAATAAATAGGATCTACTCAGTAAAAAAACAACAACAACAAAAAACTTAATTGGAGAAAGAGTCCAATAAATCAAATCATTTACTCCTTGAAAGAGAATGTTACTGTCTCATTGGTGCTAACTCTTTTAATGCCCAGTTAGCCATTACTTCATCAAAATTACAAGTAGAAGAATTACTGATGTGCTCAGAATGTCTTCAGATTTCCCAGTATTTTCTCATTAATGTTAATATGCTATTAGAACATTCTGCACTTGAGTGAGTGACTCATGATATTAGACATAGCGCTAAGGCAATCAAAAAAGTCACAAGCATCTCACAGCACACTTCAGCAGCAATACCCTGTAAAACATCCTTTGCATCTGAAATTCATCACTTCCTCAGCAATCTCATAAAAGTGGTAACTTTAGAGATGCCTGCAGCAATGCAGGCACTACACCAGCCCCTCTTCCAGAAGTTACTTCTCAGTGCTCTATCACTGGCATTCACAAGTGGTAGAGCTGACTGGTAGGGGGCAAAGCACTGACTGTCATCTTGTCATGTGGCATCAGTCACCACTCATACAAGCTAGTGAATAATGCAGCATAAATGAGAACTTCTGCAGATAATGGCAGAACATCAAAACGACAGTAAGGTCATTGACTGAAAGATACTCATTTCACAGTGCGTTTTACTTAATAATACTGACAATGAATGAGACCTTTTAAATGCAATAAAAATAAGTGCTTCTTGGTGGCAACTTAATACGAGACATTAGAGAAATCCAGGCTTATGAGAAAGAAATCAAACAATCAAATTTAAGACATCTTTGAGGGAAGAAAAAAAATTTTAAAAACCCACTTTTTATGTAGAAAGAAGAATTTAAAGAAATCTCCAGTTCTATGTGACGCTACCAAGCACTGAATCTGCATAGGAAGATTAGCAGATGTCCTCTATACATGCCTGCTAATTGCACACCTTTCCCCAGGCTCTACTAGCTTTTATGTGGAAAGATTATTTTTCCTTCAGTGCTCATTCCACTAGCATTATCAACAGTAGTGTTGATCTGTAATTAATCACTGCACACACTAACCCAACTGCAAAGCACCCACTCCATGTACACACAGAGACTTCCCCACACAGTACCAAATCTGATAAGGAAATAAAAGACATACTTAAATTGTGTGACAGACCTAGGAGGAAAGTTCAAAGTAATCTAGGAGCCATGTGTTGTGCATGAAAAGTAAAAGAACAGATTAATATCTCTAATTACAAAATGGGGATTATCCTTAAATGTTTCAATTTGAACAGGCAATTAACTGAGTTAATGGTTGCAAATACATGTCCTGAAGTGTTCTTACCTTTCATGTTTTAGTAAGGCTAATATCCATAAGGAAGAAATGTTCTCAAAGCATGCTTATCATTAATCCAGTCTTCCTCATAAAATGCAAAGCTCTTCCTCTGGCTTATCTCTTTAAGCAGGAGATTTCCTACAATGATTTCATTTGATAGCTTGCTACTGCATGAGCTTCAGCAAGATCAATCTGACTCCAAAGCAGGCAATGCTGTTTTGGTACTCATTTGCACAGAGTTTTGTACTGAGGAAATAAAGTTATGCTGCATAGTTTGCTTGAACATTAGTCTTTCATCAGTCAATTGATAAAGCACTGAAAACAAACTTTGGTTAAGAAATAAAAAAATACAGTTCATGACCACAACTGCCATAGGTAGGCATGACTGTATTTTGATTTTTTCACAAAGGCACATTTTACTAAAAGCCTACACAAGTGACTGATAGGACATTGTCTTGTTGATATAAATAGAATAGCTAGACTGGACACCAGCTAATAGATCCTACATGGTGAGGTAAAAGATGGGCTCTGAGCTACACATCTCAGCAGCTCAGGGGAGCCAGCAATGCCTTCAGACCTACTCCTTATCTGTGGGATATTTTCTGATGTTTTGTTTAAGCCTACATGCCATGCAACATTCCAGAAATTTGGCTGTATCTTCTGACCCAAACTTGGTCATTCCTGCTCAGAGCTAGTGATGCAGGGCACTAGGTACATCATGCCTGAAATGTACCAAAGGCAAGTCCATTCTTTCCTGGAAACTTCCCTGCCCACTCCACAATTCCAAGTAACACAGTCATCAGCAGATTCAGAGAGGCTGCTGCCCACCTTGAGTTCACAGCTGGGGACTAATTGGCACAAAGATAATCAGAAGATATTGTCACACCAATTGGCAGTAAAGGCTAAGAAGGAACATTGCTCCCCCAGACATTCAAACTGATCCATATGCTCTTTGTGGTAAGCTAAGTGGTTGCAAACTCCCAGCTATATACCAGTTGGAGACTAGCTGAGCAGGGCAAGTCGTAACATGCTATGGTTTCCAGCTGCTCCCCTACAGCCTGACATTTCTGGAGTAGGTGTACATTTTGTGAAATAATACCCTTAGGGTCTCAGCAGAGAGAGTTTTTTCCAGAGCAACCACCATCAGTGCCTGTACACCACAAAATTGCTGAAATCCTCACTGCTTTAAATTACTGCCTCAGACTTAGTAAAAAACACTTTGCTTGTACTAAATAAACATGAAGATCTTAAGCATACCTGCTGGGAGGCTGGAGACGCGAGATATGAGATGCAGCAAGCAGGAAAGTAGAAAGGAGGGACCTTCGAAAATTACAGGATATTTTGTCTCTAAAATACATTTCTGAAAACAAAACAAGGAAGAAATATGTAATGATTAAATGACAAGAAATTGTAAGATAAAAGGCATCATATAGGAAGGTGACAGGAAAAAAATTTAGCAGGAAGAAAAATGAGGAAATACAGTAATAACTCAGACTGCAAACAACTGGGAGAAGTTTTAATTTCAGAGGAAATATTCATGGTCAGGCTAGGTTCAAAATATGTTCAAACCATGTTCACCCACAATGGTCAAAACTATGCTAGCTTTCTTTCCAACAGTTTCTATTGCCAGTACACAGAGTCTCATCCCTGTACAAGACTTGAACAGCTACCCACATCTTAACCACTAGGTCTAAGACCTTTTGTTTGTTGATTTAGAGGCTATGGCTTTGAATTAAGGCTACACCTTTTATCAGTGGTCAGGTGTTAACTGAGGTGGTGACTTATGATGTGTGTGTGTGTGTGTGTGTGTGTGTGTGTGTGTGTGTGTGAAATGGGGAGGAATAATGAGGGAAAGCACAGCAACAAGATCTTGCTCTGGGCTGCCTTGTCTGAGCCCGTTTCTATTACAGTTTCCAGACCAAGAACACACTGTTTGTTCGTGGTCTGTGGAAACCAAACTTGTTAAAGGCTTTTTGGCTCTCCTCCTCATTTCCACTTGCTAAATTGACATAAAAAGCAGCTATGTTATGCAGGGATTTTCACCTTTGGCATTTCTGAGATGTCTAGCCTTCTTGTTTTTCACATTCCTGCCCTGTGTCAGCAAGTGGTGTGGCTTCAAGAAACATGCTGTGTAGTCATGAATAGCAGAGAAAAAGTCCTATGGAACTGTGAACTGGGAGGCAAGAAGCAAGTGTGATCCACTTGCTGGTTTGAAAAAGTCCAGGAAAAAGGTTCTCCTTAAAAAAATCCTAACTTCTTGGTTCTACTGGTGTGCGTCAGTGGTGCAGAAGGTTTGGCACAGAGAGACTTGGACCCTTCAGAGACTCCTGCTCTGGTCACAGCCCCAGATTCTTCTTTACCTCCAAATTCACAACTAAGATTCACCAGTACAGGCTGCTGATTCAAAGGTCCACTAAATCTCCTCACAAGAACAGGAGGCACAAAAGTTATGATGTTACACCAGGGGAAATCACATCTTGCAACCACTCTTCACAAACACCTTCATCATCTAAACCAGGAAATAAATAAATATTTCCAGAGTTGTCAATGGGTATAACTCTTACAAATAAAGCTGGGGGTGTCAGGGGTGGGGGAGTGCAGTGGAGGAGGGAAACAATAGGTCTACAGAGTGCAGACACAGGAGATGCTCTTAGTGGGAAGTTGCAAGTTCAAGTGTACTGGAGGTAAATGGGGTGACAGGGCAAGAGGTCTGAAGGCAGAAATAAAGTTTTTCTCAAGGTAAAGAGCATGTTTTTTACAGTAGATTTTGCTTCTTATTCAAAACAGATTTGTTTTGTGCATGTTGTTTAACTTGCCTTGTTCATAGATCAACATTCCACTGTCCTGTAAGGCTCCTAGATGTCTTCTCTTTACTGCAAAGTGAGTGTCCCTCCATCCACTTTGAGATCAACCACAAGTAGACTGCATAATTCTGGGCCAATACTAGTGGTATATATAATGAGACCTGAGCCTATGGCACTAAATTTATGTGCTACACACTATCTCTTTCGCAATGGTGTCTAGCCCAAGCAATCCTAAACTAAAACATTGCATTTCTCCAGTGCCCTACTCAGCCTTGCTCTTGCTTTCCTCAAGAAACATCAATTTATTTCCTTCACTTCGACTTAATATTTGAACCTCCTTAATGACATCCAAAAGAGGTGGAAAAAAAAATTAAAACAAAATCAGCCAGGCTACAGTTACTTTGACTGAATTAACTTTAACTACTAACAAGTACAAAAAACCCTGGGAAACCATCACCACAAGAAATGCACTTAAACTAAAAATATTGTAATATAGTTTGACTGAGTCTTGATCACTGTGTTTTAACCAAAAGTTTATCTTTTAGTGTTTGTTTTCAAGCAAAGGTCTCTAGAAATCACACTGTTATGTATAAACTTTAAATGATCTTGTGATTTCTTATCAAAACAGTCTCACGCCCTTTGTTTTACTTAGGGGAAACTAATTTAAACTGAAACCTACAGTTACTATACCTAATTCAGAGGTTCAACACTGCAGAACTCTTTTTGTAGAATGGCTTAATTTCTGCTTCCGTAGATGATTCCATACAAAAGAAGGTGCTCAGAAGGTGTCCAGTAATTAATTTTCAGCAACTGAGGGGCTTGGGGACACTATATGAAGAAGACCAAGGCTAAAGAGACTATGCAGTTACTACAAACTATGTAAAATGAAGCAGAGGCAATCAGGTACTTGTGTCAGCCTGCTTTTCTTTTTCATACACACTTGCACATCCATACTGCTACTGCACTTCTCCACTAAAAGCCAGGCACTTATGTGCTATACTTATCTTTCTGATTGCCAAGATAAAAGCACCTGGCTCTTGCTTCAGTTACTGGATTTTCCAAATCACAGTGACTCTTTATTAAGAACATAATGGGGTTTTAACAATGGGCATCTTACACAAAGTCACACAGGCATAGTAGTGTTAGTACGCTGTTTTCATTGAGACAACACCAAGTTCTACTTGCTCTGAATGACACTCTAAGTACACAGATGCATATTAAAAGCCACTTGCCGAAATAAACGGAAATAATTAAAATTCTGATTATGCTTAAAGAAAAGTAATTTCCAAGCAGTAAAAATTGATAGTCAGTTAAACCTTGTTATTCAGCCACGGCACATGACATATATGCTTTGATGTCTATTAGTTCTGTAATTTTTTTCCCTCCAAGCATTCATTTGTGGAAATTTGGTAGCTCTCTGGGGTTGTTATTAATTACTCTAAAATAATTTGTCCTGAAAGAATTGCCAGTGCTCTTAATAAGTGGCAAGTCCGAATGCTTAGCTGCATGACTCATGAATATCAACTGTTAATAACAACTCCTCACTAAAAAATACTACAAGTTCATTGGAATAATAACAACCTTTAATGCAGAACCTTTCATATAATAACTGTCTTTAACACAAAGGTCTCTGTTTCATACAGATATCAGCAGGGGCAGAAAGTGCTCCCTTTTTATAAGGGTGCTGGTCATGATTTCAGGTGAACTACTAAGCAGGAGGCTATCTGCATGAGAAAGAAATAAATCACTTGCATGGGGACCTAGTTCACCTTATCCTCAGTTAGGATTAGTTACACCTGCCTTCATCCAGCCTATTCTTAAAGACTTCAGTGATTAAGGCTGCCTAGGGAAGTCATGGCAAGGCTTCACCATAGTTGTTATCACAATGTTTAAGCCAAGTCCTCAGTGGTCCAGCTGTGCAGTAAGTTCCCATTGCTCTGAAAGATCCACTTCTTTTCTTAAAACTAAACAACTTCAGTTTTTCCAGTTCTTCCTCAGTGGTGATATTCACCACACCTGAAATGACTCTTAGAAGAATGTGTCTACTTCAGCCAGAAAGCTGAAGAGGAAAGCAAGCCCAGCCCACTTTCACAGGTATCATTTTACTGCAGAGACATAGCAAAAGGTGCTCCAAAAGCCCACTGTGACCTCTGAATGCAACAGGCATGTATGTACCTAATACATAACTCCACACATTAAATTAAAATCATACCTATAGAGTAAAAAATGAATGCCACTTGCTAGTATGAGAGATTACCCAAAAAAACCAGTGATGATGGAAAAGTAGGGATAATGAGATGAACGTAAACACGGAATATTAGGTGGAAGGGTTACCAGGATTTTTGTGCGTGTCAACAAGTCAGATGAGAAAAGCAGGGAAACTTAATATATCTCATAATTTGGTTATACTATGACTTCAGTGGAGTGCTGTATCAGACCATGGAACCCAAATATTCACATTTCAAAGCGGACTTCAAGAAGAAAATAATAAAAAATCCAGAAAGTTTCCAGCAAGAGCTGTTACTTGGTTACATACTCTGGGATTATAAATACATATAGATTATAAATATATATATATTATGAACACATTGCACACAAAGTAAATTATTGGAAGCTGAAGCTAAGGAAAGATTTAAAGTCAACCCACTACTGAGAAGACAAAACTGCTCAGAATATTCCAGTAGACCTATAGATCTGTCAGTTGTCTTTCAAAAAGATTGCATGTATTAAATGTAAAACAGTTGCACTTACATCAAGATTTGATTATAATGTTGCAATTTCAAAACTTGCTGACTTTTTAAATTCTTAATTCACTGGGTTATTTTCAGTCTTTAATTTTAATATAAAGAAGTTTTCTTTGTTAAGAACAGAAAAGGAAGGTAAGAATATGAAGTTCTATATTGGAAGAGCCACTGACATTTTCAGTTTCTGAAGCTCTTTTTCAGCCCAGGAAAAGTAGGATTTTTTTCAAATGCAAAATTAGTAAATAAGTAGAGAATACTTAAAAAAACAGGGATAGGAGGAAACAGAAGCATTATAGGATTTTCCTCTATCTCCCATCTACAGAACAAACAACTCAAACACGAATCTTGCTCACCCCCAGGAAAGTTTCATTGGTGCTTCTTCATTCACTTGTTTCAGTCCTCTGTGCTTCCCAATTTCTTCTCAGACCAAAACAGCATGCTGACAGACTACCCAAAGCAGAATTTCTGACCTCCTCTGAAGCATCACACCGCATGTGAGAAAGCTTCTTCCAGTGCCACAGCCTTGTAGTAAAGCCCACAAGGAGAGACAACTCAGCAGAGGCTTTCTCCTGCATCGCCCGTGTCTTCACATGGCATGGCCAGACACCATTCCTGAGACAGAAACACACTGTTGAGCTTCCCACAGCAAGCTCTACACACGCTTCTCACAAAAGTCTGCATCCCTATTCTCTAAAATTATGAGAGTTTACACAGGTCAGGATGAAGGAGACATGCTTGGTATTGGCAATTTTCAGCTAGAAGTAGCTGAAAGACCTATTTTCCTGGACTGGCAGAGTTCCTCTATTGATTTACCTTATCTTACTCAAGTCTCATTGACTTCTCTGAATCTGATTTCAGAGATATTTAATTAAGCTACATAAAACACAAGCACTAAGTGTTGAAAAGTTACATATGAGATAGGATGTCAAAGTGTATCAGAAAGGGGGAATCCCAGGTGGGTATGAGAATGGCTTTGAATGTCCAATGTGCTGGATAACAATTAGCAAAACACTGTGGGAACAGAAAACTGCTACCAGAGATGGGTCTGACTGCAGTTTTATAGGCCCCTGCAGAAGCACAGAAAAGATAGGAAACATCAATTCCATTTCTAAATGGTATTTAAAAAACCCTTAATATGGGATTAAAAAAAAAACCAAAACAAAACAAAAAAAAACCACACAAAACCCACAACTGTTTGCATCTGGATCTAATAAAAAGACTAGAAAAAAATGGATAGAGATTGTGGCTCCATGGTGAAACAAAGCTGGAAACAGGTCTAGATATAACATTGCAGAAACAGACACAAAATCAGATATTATGAATATTGCAGAGGAACGTATAAATAAAATATAACCAATGAGAATATGTGAGTAGATCAGATTCTGGTTTCCAAGCAGATGAACTTTAAAGGGAGGATGTATAGTAAGTAGTGTTTCCCTAGATAATGAGAGATATTATGAAACTGCAGTAAAAGGAGAGGAAAAAAATTGGGAAAGAGGAAGCCAAGCACAGCAGAGCAAGGAGCAGCAATTAAAAACTGCTGCTACACAATGCCAGGGAATTTACATAAAACAGCATACTTTGGGGCAGGAGGCAGAGGAATCCTGAGAATTCTCCAAAAGCAGTTTAAAGGCATACAAAAATGGCATGTGTGGAAGATATTTTTGAACAGTGCTATCAAGAAGTTGAAGGAACCCCACAATAATATTTCACCACGCTACAAAAAAAGACAGACTTGTGTAACTAACCAGTTTCCAGAGATGAACAGATGGTACTAGTAACAGAAAAGGAAAAGGTTGTACCTGAAATGAAAGCACAGAAAGACACAAACCCTAGCAAACAGTAGAGACTTGCACAAACCTGATAAACAAGCTTATATGCAAACACAAGTCACACAGTGGCAGAGACAAGACACTGAGAAGAAAGGGGCAAGTGACACAGAAAATAAACCTGCACTCAATCAACAGTAAACGTACAAGATGCAAAAAAACAAAAGAAAGACAGTGACGTCATGTGGAAAACTTAACAGAAAAACCTTATACATGGAATCATCATGTCAAGGGTTTCAGGAACAAATTTACTTGCCAATAACTTTGAGATTTCTCACAGATGACATTGATAAAACAAAAAAAGTAAAATGTAATGGTTAGTCATCCCTCCCCCCCCGCCAAAAAAAAATAAGACAGCAGTGACTGAACAGGAAAACAGAAACCAAAGAGAGAAAATCAACACCTTTTTTCCCATGAGAAACTCTATACTAAATAGTGCAAATTAAAACTATACAATAAGATGAGTCTGGGATCTTTGTTATGAACAACAGTTAGTCACATGAAAAGGGGTAAAGATTGAAATATCTCCTAGGGAGGAATAGTCACAGGTTCCAAATAAAAAAAATGCATATAGCAACTAAACCTCAGATATACACTAGGCCTAAGATATAGGACAAAAAAAAAAAAAAAGGAAAATTTAATAAAAACAGGATAGTTATGAATCATTCATAGTACATAAGTAACACAATGTTTATCACTGACTCTGAAGAAGTAAAAATGCTACTGCAGATATCCATCCTTAGCATTATCAGTGCAATAACCATTAGGATTTAAAACTATCTGGTATTTTCTCAAAAACGTACAAGTACTTTCACCAGCTGAGACAACAAATTGAGTAAGCTTATACAGGATACTGTCTCAGCACACTGCAGCTTAAATGTTGATAGGAGCTGGAAGCCAGCTACCACATCCTGAAAAATAAGATGGTGAATGAAGAGGCAATCAGCATACAGCATAAGATCAGCCAGGCAGAGCAGAAGTACCATTCCAGCAAAAGGCACTGAGCTGCTGGATTGCACATCAGCTTCATTATCAACAGATGGTCAAGAAATACTTGGAAACAACATCTTAAAATAAATGTCTGCTTGACAAAACCAGTCAGAAATTTTAAGAGTAGGTAAAAACTACTAGCAAAGGATATTAGAGGATATCAGCCAGTAAGGAGATGCCTTTTTTTCTTTTTCCCACCTAGTTTATTACTGGGTTGTGGGAGTTTCAGGGTGTATTTTTTTGTTCTGTTTTGTTTTTTTAAAAAATATGGCAATCAAAACAGGTACTCAACTAAAGTGACTAAGAGGTAGACAGCTAACTGCTGAGGCAGTGGCCTTGCTATAAGAAAACACATCAACTGAACAAGAACTTTGACCTCACAACCAAACAGAAAGTATCAACCACCCTGCCTCGTTGAGAAGTTTAATGCAGACACTAGATTCAAAGTCAGATTGAAAGCATTGCTTAGAAGATGAGTGGATCATCAAAAACAAAAGGGTTGTCAAAACTCAGAGTCACCATCAGAGGGAAGGCTATTTCTGAAAAGTCAGATGTGGCACTGAGTGCCATGATCTAGTAATCACAGTGGGGTTGGATCAAGGGTTGGACTTGATGATCTCAGAGGTCTCTTCCAACCCAGTTAATTCTACGATTCTATGATTTGCCAAATTCTGCCCAGGACAGTGGGTTAAGAGGTCACAATACTTGCAGAAGTCAAGTGGCAAAGAGATAATGAGAGCTCATAGCACTGGCAGCAGGTTTTATATTTTAGAGTTTTGTTAGCTACAGAGAAATCTTTACAGGGTTAAAAATAAAAAAAAAAAAAAGGAAAAAACATAAACATCGAAAATGAAAGAAAAGATGTAAAAATTAAAAAGAAAAAAGGTAAAAAGAAAACAGAAAAAAAAAACAGTAAAAAAAAAGGAAACTAAAAAAGAAAGAAGAATATTTCAGTGGAAGAGTATGGTTGTTGTCTTGCACAGAGTTTGTAGAAATATGTGCATATAACATTACCACCATATCACTGTCCCATACAGAGGAAAACCAAATCTTCTATTAAAATAACAAAGAATAAATTTTTTTAATTGAAAAAAACCCTCTTCCTTGACAACATCAATGCCAAAATATTCCAACCTAAACATCTGTGGAGGTCACTGGCTCCAGCAGGTCTACAGACAGAAACAAGAGTAGGACTGATCATTCAGAAGAAAGATGATTGCAAAGTGTCCAAGAAGCCCAGATCTGCTAGAAATACAAAAGCTCTGTAAGCACCAATCTTTCTCCCTGGGAGATACTGCTACGTACATGAAAGAACTTACTTACAAATTCCCTTCAGTGTAGGACTGAGCGCTTCAGTGAATTACAGTTACTATGGAGAACACTCTCTTTGTTCAGGTTAGAGATAATTTTGTATTGACAAATTGTGCTGCTTTTGGCTGGGATAGAGTTAATTTTTTCCATATTAGCTTGCATGGGGCTGTGTTTTGATTTGGGCCGAAAACAGTGTTGATAACACCCTGGGATGTTTTCATTATTTTTGAGCAGGGCACAAGGAGCTGGAAGGGGACACAGCCAGGACAGCTGACCCCAGCTGACCAAAGGAACATTCCATTCCCTATGGCATCACGCTCAGCACATAAAGCTTGGAAAGAAGAAGGAAGCAGGAGTCTTCACAGTAATGGCGTTTGTCTTCCCAAGTCATCATTACCAGTGATGGGGCCCTGCTTTCCTGGGAAAGGCTGAACACCTGCCTGCCCATGGGAAGTGGGGAATGAACTCCTTGTTTTGCTTTGCTTGTATGTGCAGTTTTTGATTTACCTACTAAAGGTCTTTAACTCAACACATAAGTTTTCTCACTTCTACCCTTCCAATTCTTGATTTTAAATTTACTGTCTCAAACTAATGTGACAGAAGGACGAGTGATGCAGTCTCCCTGAACAGGGAGCTATGATCTTACATAAAAAAACTGAAAATAACTTTCAGGAGTTTTTACTTGGTGAAGACAGCACATGTGCAAGAAGAAACAGGACCAGGACAATGAATTCTTTTCTCGCTTCTGTCTCACACAGAACAGGAGGGAACCAAAAGAGTCTCTGTGATAACTTATGTGCTTGAAATACTTTTAGCCACAGGGGACCAGGTCGATTTTGCCTGAAATTTTCTCTGCTCATTTGGAAGCATTTCCTGTCATGGATGTGAGTATGTGATGGTGCATGAGAACAAAAACGGCTCCTGATTTCAGTCGACTCTCCATCCTCCTCCTTCCTGTTTAGCTGCCTATACCTCCATATCACTGTCTAGGAGTTACCATAACCTCCATGTCACAGGTCAAGAGCATGAAATGGTTTAACGAGAAAATAATTTTTGCTTTTTTGTCTTTTCTACTCAAGCAAGCTTTCTGTACTGTATAATTAGTACTTACCATCAAAATACCATGATAGAACCTTAACCCAGCCCTTCATAATGTTATTGCTGCAAGGCAGTGTTTCAGTCACTTCAATGCATAAGACATTAAAATAAATGCAATTGAATTTTTTATTTTCTCCCTTTCAGCCTGATCCAAAATGGGTTAAACTGATAGAAGAATGCCATGAATGATGCAATGGCTCAAGTTCAGTACATTGCATCTACAACCATAGCTCAGCTGAACTGCACCACAGCTGCACCACCACAGGAGAGTACACGAAGAAGCAGCCATCCTTTCTGCACATATTCAAGGCACAGATACTTGGGGGAACACAGGGCTGGAAAACTAGTATCTGATTAGAATCTGAAAAACTGCAAGTGAAATACTCTATGTGTACAACTCAACAGGACGTAGAACTCTGAATTCATTTTGCACCTCTGCCTCACACTTGAACTTAAGCTTTAGTTTCTCTTCCCATGAACTGGAATTCAACACCCAGGATGTGAAATTAATCATCATTCTGCTGTCAGCAGTAGAATCCAAAAGAGATGTTATTAAAAATGTTAGAAATATCTAGACAAGAGTCAAAAAACCAGCTCTCAAGTCTGTTGGATGTCAGCATACTGCTTCAGAGTCCAAAGCAGCATTACAAACATCCAACCCTGAACTTAGGGATGTCACTTTTAATACGTTAATTAAAGAAATAATAAAATTCCTATTCATAAAATCTTCCTTCTTCCAGAACGGACATTGATTAATGTTCTCAATAAATAAAAGATCAACTTTTATTCTATGATAAATCTTTCAGTTGACATGTGTTTGTACTTTCCTCTTCTACCCACTGCATCTCCTCCAGCTGCTATGAGCTATTACTAATATTTCCAGAATGAAAACATGGAACTGTTTCTGTTTCTTCCCAAATGCCAGAATTGACAAAAATGAAACAGAAAGTGACAATTCCAACAGTTTTTACCTGACCCATTATCTTTGCTGTGTCCAAATAATAATGCAAGGCATAACTATTCCTATTTGATTTATCCTAAATTTTCCTTTGACTGAAATGGGAGGAGATTCTTCATATGCTAGTCCACAATCCCTATCCAGAGCCAGTGTCTCTGTACTTCTCTTTTCTCATCTGTAGCTTCACTTGGGAGGGGGTCATGGGGGTGAGGAGGTGTGCGTGTATGGGATGGTGACATTACCAAAAAAAAAACCACCAAAAAAAAAAAAACAAACAAACAAACAAACAAACAAAGAATAGGTCATGAAACAAATGAAACAAACAAATCAAACAAACAAAAGTCCTGATCCGTACACCATAGTTTAGTGAATATCTGGCTATGATGAGCAGTGTACAGTTGTTCACAGGACCATATTAAAGAGCAGAAAGTTTAAGTTTGTTATTTCCACATAGCCACATGCGCACCATGTAAGTTGAGGCTGGCCATGATTCTCCCATGCAAAATGCTTGTGAAGCAGTAGTCTATCTTACCAAAACATTTGATTTTTCAAAATATTCTTCATCATTGTAGCCAGAGATTACTAAACTAAACAGCTTTACAGTCCTTCAGGAGAACCCAGTTAGACTAAGACAAAACCAAAGAAGCAGTGGTAAGTATAAATGTGATAAGGTAAAGCATTGATTTTCAGTCTGCTACATTGCTCCTTTCAAAGGCATAAACCTCCTTGCATTGGCTTCACAGGGAGGTTAAGTTCCAATGTTTTCCTTGCCTAAAAAGAGCTGATGCAGAAGTTATCTGTTCAGAGTTCCTTTTCTCCAACACACCCATCTTACCATAGTACTGATAAGAAGTCCTACCCAAAGTAGATTGCCTTAAATAGTTCATAATTAATTTCCTTTCCTATTTAACATACAACACATTTTGTGCTAGCAAAGCTTTAAGAGCTCGCTGGACTTTCATATTTCTGTCCCTGCAGTAAGGTTTCTGAGAATCCAGTCAAGACCTCGCCCCAGTAGAACCACAGTAATAGCAATGTATATATTATAACGTTATACAATGAATGACACGGTAATCTGCTTTAAACTCTTGTTTAAGGATAATTCTGACCATGCTGACATTTCCTATCGACAACTCCTTTACGCAAAGATGAGAAGGAGATACAAATGTGCATGTGGAGAGAGATGATGAACAGAGAAAGCTCCTTTCCCATTCATGAAACAATTGAAACAAGTAAACAGTATACCATCAGTAAGCAAACTCTGACAGCTTTCCCCCTAAAATCTTACTAACACAAAAACACGGAGGCAAGTAGGTTGTGAGGCCTAAGATGAATACAGCCAGTAAAGATCTCTTTGATCCATCAGTGGTGTCTCATCCAAACCAAATGGAGAGAAATGGGAACACGCTCCTCAGAAAATGAAAAGGAGATAGATATACTAATACGAATGGTATTAGTTATATTCTACTTACCTGTTCTATTGGTGTTTTCCCCCAAATTTAGGGCCATTCCCCTTCAAAGATCCCACTGTTTGAATGCAGCCTCTGAACACTCCAACTGGAAAGGTTGCCCCTTATATATTCCTAGACAGCCCAAAAGCACAGGCATTTCATTTTCCCTTGGTGAGAGAACAAGCTTAACAAGAGGGAACTCCCAACTACAGATGTAATCATTGTGACTTCCAACACCGTGTGACAGAAAGGTAAGAGAAGACAGCCTTATGCTGACCTCTGCAAAACAGGGTAAGACAAAGACATTGCAAAACGTGACTTCATGTTCTAACAAAAGTTTGCACCAGTTCAGTAGTTACCTTCATTTTGCAATGGGCTTAAAACCTTTGTTGCCATATGCCACCACTTTAGCATATCAGTTGAGATAGATGAAAAAAAAAAAAAATATTGGCTTTATAAGGCTGTGGTGAGGATGGACTCCACTCTACACAAGGTAGGAGCTGCCCCTCGATACACCACTATGCTTCTTGGTTGATTCCTTTGCCTCAGTCCCCTGAGAATCAGCAGGCACCTCCTGTATTTAAGACTGAAAGCATCATACAGTTTTCAGAATAAAACTACTGAAATAATTCATAAGCCAACAGAGGCAGTTTGAAACATTCAGCACTGCAGCCAGTGTGCCAAGCCTGACTACAGTCTACAAGGAGAAAGGCACATTTGAGAGACAGCACATAATTACGATACTACTGAGTTTTCATAAAGCCTTTTCAGTATTTAATCTCACTCTACATAGCTCCCTTTCAGGGGAATTTTTTAAATCTCAGCTCCTTCAGTGAGCTAAATTTTGATTATCAAAACAGGAGATTTGCTCATGGTCTGAGTTACATGAGATATAAAATCCACAAGCTAGGAGAAACTAAATTCAGTTTCAAAACTACATGAACTTTAACACTACTGAAATTAAGGCAGTAATTTCAGGTTCTGAACAACAGAGCACGGGTTAATGACTATTATGCAGGGAAGACTTCTATATGGGAACATTAGGAATATTTGGTTGCCGTTTATACCGCTCCAATAAAAACCAAAACATCACATATACATGTGATCTCTGCCACTTATGCTGAAAGCCTTACAATTTCCGCTGCAATTAGTGCATTTTTAATATATCCAGTGGTACTTCACAGAATAAGTTGGCACTGCACAGTAGTACTTAAACCTTCACATGTTATCCATCAAAGTTTTAGCAGCACTAGATCTTCAGTTATTGCTGCTCCTTCTGAAGCTTCAGAGGAACAGGGGGAAAAGGACTGAGTAAAACCTGAGTTTAATGTTTCTAGGAAAGAAGAGGTTGGAAATTGTAAGATGAAAGTGAGTAAAGGGCAGCATAAACAATTGCAGCTTGCAACTTACAATGAGTTTTCAGAATTCCAGACAAAAGAGAGAGTGCCCTTGGGAGTGCAACTTCCACCTCCACTTGCATTGCTGTCCAGCCCTGATATCTTACACATATCAAATAATACCACATGCTTTGAAATCTAAGCATATTCCTCTTTTTCCCCTCAAACAATCGAGTTATGCTCTGGCCTTTTTTTGTTTAATTTTATTGTACTGTTTAACCATTTCCTTGTCTCTCTTCTGCCACCCCCACTCCCCCTGCCCCCAGCTTAGCTACTGGGAATCATATTAATTTTATTGCTTCAAATAACAGGAATTTCAGGGCAAAACTTTCCTAGATTTACAAGAGGACATTTCAGAGGCTCAAAAGTTGTTTACTGCCTGTTCTTCCAGGTTAGCTTAAAGATGTTACCTCTGGAAGAGAATATCTGTGTTGAGGTGAATACATGTTGTGATTAAAAGCTTCATCTTCTCTGCTTCTTTCTTGTCCTGATATTACTAAGATATTACTAAGTATCTTTAACATAGATGGCTGAACTTGTAGTGCAAAAAAACCCAAAAAACCAGATGCACAGAAATATGTAAAAGATGTACTATAAAACTACTACTATGACACGAACAAGAAACTGTAGAGGATGCAAACTCAATTTTCTTCTCTTTGCAGTTCACTTTTAGTCATCTTACAGTCAGCCCATCACTTCTCCAAGCAACTGGTATTTGTTATTTGGTGCAGTTCCTGCCATAGGTTAGTGTGCCTTCCTCCAAGGAATTCATCATTACCACTTCAACTAGTTAAGCTTCCCTATTTGAAGTGACATCATCACACTAAAACTTGTAATCACAACCATCATAGACTTGTCAATAACAGGTCAAGCACTTTTTATAGACATTAGTTTACAAGACTAGAAATTGCTCATGAACATGGAAACAAAAAAAAGAGAAATATGAACTGATCAGCTTGGGAAGGGCCTGCAGCCCCTTCAGAACAGTAATGAACAGATATAACCAAACAACTGGGAGCCCAGAGGAGCATGTTCTGGCAGCAGATGCACTTGCTTTATAAAGAGGGTCAGAAAAAGAGAAGTCTTGGTTGAAAGGAATTTCTATATAGCTGATCCCAGAAAAGCTACAGGCTCCACATGGGACTGGAACAAAGAAACTTACAGACTCTCCTTCAGGAGATGATCATAAGTGTACTGCTTAACCCTAGACTAACCAACTTCCTACTTGTGTGCTGACAGCCACCACCTGGAAGTTGGGTAACAGTCCAGTTAGTGTACCTCACAAATAGAGTAAGACGTAATTGTTAACATTTGCAAAGCATAAAGTTCAGATGAAAAGGTTCACTACCACTCAGTACACACAGGAGGGAAGAGATAACACATTAACTGTATTTGTTGAGGTGGTGCAATATAATTCAATTCTACAAAGACAAGCAAGTATGGCTGTGCACACGTGCAGGCACACACATTCTCCTTCAGCCCATTTGCTACGAGCTGTATGTGTAACACAAAGATGTGATCTTGGAAACCCTGCTGCACTCACAGCTCAATTCCATCTTTGCAGCATCCATGAACATGGGCAGTGTGTCTTGTAAACATCTTAAAATACAGTGGGGAAAAAAGACTTAGATTCTGCATATTTTTCCCTTCTATTGCAATAAAGGCAGCATATAGAAGGCAGGATAAGCAAAAATATCTGTATGCGTGTATAAGGAAAACAAAGAACAGCTTTATGCTTAATACATCCTTTATATCTTTTTGTTTTATGCTAATGTATCAGCAGTTGCTCCCAGTGTTGTGTCACCGAATGGCACGAGCACAGTTCTCACCATGAAGTGCTGTGTTGCCATCTATGACATTTAGCAGAAGTGGCAGGGTCCCCTTCAGAAAAAAACCTGTAGCAGAAGATCAAAAATACTCATAGAAGCCCAGTCACGCTGAAGGCAGTCACAGCTGATGAATCAGGATGACTGGAGAGAGCTGAGCAGGAGCAGGAGCGAGTAGCTTGTATTCCCTGTGCAGCTTTCATGACCTCTTCACCTCCTGTATAGGGAGAGCAGTCAGGCTCATGGAGCAGGTACAGCTGCTGTGCTTAAAGCAAAGGGCACCTGGCACCCTCCCAATCACATAACCTATAGGACAGGTAACTATTTCCTTGTAGTCAGGGTTCAGTGCCTGACAAAAATACGTGACATATTCCTGCAGAATTACAGAACAGTGAAATGACTAGATGAAGAAGAAAGACTCATCTTTAATGGCATTTCAATCCGAGGAGACAGAGATCTGTAAACAGTTTTACTGTTGTGAGAAATTAGTTGAGAACCCAGACACAGGAGTTGCATTCTCCTTATCTTCCTGAATAAACTTCTAAAGAATATGGAAAGGGGTGGGGTAGGCAGGGGGAAAGAGAAGAAATCTTAAAAGTATTGAGAATGACATAAAAAACTTTTGGGTCCACATTCTCTGCTTACCTTCTAATTTGAAAATGATAAATGAAAATTATGATTTTTTTTTTTTTTAATTAGGAGAAGGGAGAGAACTGACTCAGCTTTCTCCCAGCTGTACATTATTACTTGAGAGAACATGCAGTGGATTTGTTTCAGTCTGCTCTAAGGTAAACTTGCCTTCTTTTTGTTTGTTTGTTTGCTTGCTTATCTGGTTCTCATGCATGCTATATCCTTTATGCAAATGAAATCAGAAAAAAGAACCACCCAGCAAAACATATGCAGGCTTTTAACAGTTTTACTCCCTTCATTATCTGAAAAGTTTATGCGTGATTTGGAAGAACTGACCCCAAACATTAGAAGAATGTATTTTAAAGCAATTCTAAAACTCAGGATCAAGGAGAGTGTGATTATCTGTTCCAAATCATCCCTTAAGTCAGACCTCGTGAACTTTCTGGATCAGTTTCTTCTCAAAAAAATGCAGTTGAATGAGAACATTGTTATCCCACTGTGAAATTATTAATCCTACAGAGGGTCCTGGTTTTGACTGGGTAATTCCAGTTAAAAGCATCCTCCAAGAAGAGCTACCCAAAGAAAATGCACTTGCACAAAGCCTCATGCTTTTGACAAACTCATGCTGCTCCTGTGAGAAGAGGAACCAAAGAATTCTTCTTCCTTGGAAAGGCTGAGACATACAAATTCAGGCACCTTCATGTGGTCTGAATGGAGCTGGAGAAGACCCATCCAAGGCAGGCACCAGAGGCTGGAGAGAACTCCACCGGGCAGTCCTCAGAAACCCACTCCAGGATCTTCACACTTTCTTGACTCAACTGCCGACCCCTTTATTGTCTGTGACAGCAGTCTAGTCACGTAACTCCTACCCCAAGGCCTGGTTTCAGGTTTCAGGCCCTAACTGACACATCACATCCCATTGGAACAGAAGACTGCTGGCATTTCAGTCACTCGAATCACAGGAAACACAATATGGTTTAAGCAACACTTTGATAAACTTGAGTACACTCTTCAAGCCTGACCTACGGAACAGAGCTTCAACTCTTATCAGTTTAATATATTAGTATTAGTTCCTGCCAAGCCTTATCTGAAGCCATTCCAAGTTTGTTCAATTTCTTTTCTCATTTTATTCAAGTGCTAAGAGAGAAACAAGGGGGAAAAAGGCCATGCTAAAGAAACAGCATTCTATATGAGAAATAAAAGCAAAACAAAAGGGGAGAACGAGAATAAAAGAGGAAAAGGAGGAAAGGGTGAATAAAAAAGGGAGGAAAGGAAGGAAAAGGGGGAAAGAAAGCAGAATTGCT